GGATTGATAAAATTATCGAATAGATCAAATTAAGCAGACTCCCACAAGACAATGAAGCACACCGCTCGTACAAATGACAGCATTCGCTGCTTTGTCAATACATCCCCAAAATGAGCAGGGGCCGTATTTTAAGCGTCCAAAAAAGAAACTTAAGAAAGAAATGATCTTTGGCTCATCACAAAAATGAGATCAAATGCAGGCCCAATCCTTCCAAAAAAAACTCTGTTACTAGCAACATAAAAATTAAGCATACTTTGCAATGAGAAACTTGTTCATATGCATTATTATAGCGCACTTCATTGCTACGAGGCACAAAATATGATGCCCTGTGTACCAGTGGTAACAAGCATAATGTCTTGCATATATATCCTGGCTTCTCAAATAATGAAAATTAAGTGGTTACTTACCAGACCAAGCCAGATTTGGTACATACTGCAGAGGGTACTGTTTTTGGAATGCAGAGAAACTGTAATGCAACTTGTTGCCACTAGTTGAAAAAAAACAAGTTTTGCTAACATAGCATTTGAGAGAGCAATTATAATGTCACTGAAAACAGTAACGTCACCACAGTCAGGGTAATCACATTGTACTGACATCAAGATCATGACATTGCAATGATAAGGGCTTTTTCAAGAACTAACCCCAAGCAACTAAATCGCACAGGGAGAAGATTTCCAATTGACTCGGCGTGGTGTGCATCATCACTCTGCCACTGCTCACAAGCCATTCACCCTACTGCACAAGTGCGGTCACTACTGGGGTTCGGCACACGCAGCTACAATTCTTGAGAACCAAGACAGAGTCACTTTCATTTTCAAATCGTTCGTTTTCAAAACAGCTGCACATCAAGACTGTCTGCAACTGCACACTGTTTTAGTATATAAATCTCTGCATCCTACAACAATGCCACCACACATTTTCATTTAAAAAAGACACACAAACTGCACACATTGATTTATCAATGGATTTAAGGTAATGTCAATCTAAAGCTGTCAGTGCTAAAATGCACTTCTAGGAAATTTGCCAGAAAATATCCTGAAGCTATAAAATGTTTGAGACTGGAATTAGTATAGGTCAGTATTTAAAGCCTAGAACAACGCTAAGTTATCACAGCAGCCCATGTCTACAGCCATTAACATAGACGATATGGTAAGGGTGTTTTTAAAAAACGTTTCATATAAATTAAGCATCACCATAAGCAAGGCACCATGGGATGCTTATGACAAGAAACACTACCTTTTGTATTAATTATTTATGCCTTACAAGAAGGGTGTAGTGAAAGTGTGACCAGAACTTTACTCGTTTCTTTCATAAGGGAAAGATCAGAACAAGTGTGATAAAAGTGTACTGATGTGTTCATTATACAGAATGCTGAAGATATAATATACAAACAACAATAAGGTACAAAAGCAGTGGATGACCTTATTGCACTTCAGAACAGTTCTAGGAAAAGTGGGTGTTGCAGCGAGAAAACGTTCTCATTCACAACAGATTATGAGCAGTCAGTTACATGTTCACACTGTGGACATTATAAAATACATCACAATACAACTTAACTCATACACAAGACAAATTATTTCTTGTACTCCAGCCAAGCTGGACTATTCTAAATGCAAGCAAACAACATTAAAATACATCAATAGGTTTTCCTTAAACAGACATCTCTTATTGCAAAGAAACAGGTAGCCGTCTGCATGAATAAAAGGAAAATGACCGCGTGATAGATCAAGGACCCAGAACAAGAACACCACTGAACATATCTGACATGCATGTCGATTTTCGATTCAGGTACCCTTATGGGATTAATGGTATTGGACGGAGATGTGCTTTCTAGTGGCTTTTACAAAAGACACACATGACAATGCTGGCTAATCAGTATAAACACACAATTATCCCTGAGGTTAAAACATATAGCACATTTGGCTGGTCAGTTAAGAAGCTAAAGCACAGAACAAGGTTATTCAACATGGTAACCACACTTGTCTGCATGCACCCCAATACCGTAGCGACAGTTATGAAGCAATGCTGTTACTACTAGACCAAAACATTTTATGTCCTCCACAACTCAGCACTGCCACGAAGCTCTCCAATCATGAGCCAACTGATCCTTTGCCGAAAAATACCCAAACAAGGCAAGCTGCTTCAAGATTGTCGCTAACGTTCATGCTGACTTTCGTGTTTTTCAAGGTAGTGTTTCTTCCAGAACGTCTCTGGGCACAATGAGCACGGATACGGTCGCTTGCACATATGACCGCGGTCGTGACCGTGCAGTACAGACTTCTGCTTGAAGCTCCGGGGGCACAAGTGGCACTCGTATGGTCGCTTGCTGGTGTGAACGTACAGGTGAGTCTTCAATGAGGATGTTTGGGTGAAGCGCTTGGAGCATATGTGGCACTTGTACGGCCGCTCACCAGTGTGAACCCTGATGTGTACCTTCATAGCAGACAATTTGTCAGTTCCATAGTCACAGTGGTCACAGCGGTGGCGGTGCACCTGGCGCAGCTTCTTATCGTCTGTAGTCACTAAATGCGATGTAGTCGATGAGTTCACTGAATTTGTCTGTAGTCGTTGACTTGAAGACTTCAATGCTGCAAAAAAAAGAAAAAATGGCTAGGCTACACAGGTATTGCATAGGTAACTGTCTGCTTCCATCTTTGTGTAACCCCACCCAGCATGAAAACAAGTCCATGCGTTGCCACTGCAGCATGTGGCAGAGAACCGTCGGCCAAAGGTAAAGTTGGCCTTCCAATAACAGTGCTAGTCGTTTGGTCAAACGCAAGCCCTGAGCTCAACTGAATTTCATCGAGCATCAGAACTGCATGCCTGTCATGCTCCTTCATGGTGGTTATCTGAAATATGCAACATGCACTAGGCAACACAGGCATTAATAAAGACATTTAAGATACAATGCTTTTCAAGAATAAACAGGCAGTGCACTGTGCAAGCTGTATTTCGATGCTTGCATGCAAGAAGATTATCACCTATTGAAATTTATGTGTAATTGTGCCTACTTAGAGGACCTGAAGTCATAAGTGAAGGAAAGGTGAGAATACATTGTGGAAACTTTATGAATGGCCGCTAAAACGTGCACGACAAAGAGCGCAGTGACAGGCACTAGCACTGGAACTAGCAACACATGAAAGCTTAATAAATATTAGGGTTTACGTGCGAAAACCATGATACGATCATGAGACATGCCATAGTGGAAGGCTCTGGAAAAGGTTTCACCTTTTGCTCAAGGTGTGTGTCTGAAAGAGACGCTCACTAGAATAAATGTAACAAATAAATTCAGCTACACCATCCTTTCACTTTTAAAGCAAGGGACTTCAGAACCTCAAGTAGAATTCCTGGTGAGAACTTGTAGTTTTCAACACGACGCTGTAAAGTTCTTTCACTGGGAAGGGGTACAGCAAGCTCCCTGACCGCATTGTAGCCCCTGGATCTACATGCCAAACGGAGCTTGAGGCCTTTCTGTATAGTCTCTGTAGACCATTGCTTCCCTCGCATACAGGAAGTCCACATGCCTTGCAGTTGATCTGGTGACAGGCACTTCTTGATGTTTCACATGAGTTCATGGTTTCTCTTGTTTGGTCTGCTTTTCTGTTGTTGCAGTGTAGCAACTTTCCGCTTCATGTGGCCGCTTCATGTTGTTCAAGCACTCTTCCAATGTAGGTATTCTTTTGTGAAGGGCAGCTACTACCGCTTGATCAGCATCCCAACTACTTGAACTGGAGCCTGCAAAGCACAGATTGAGCAGGAAGTGAGAAGAGTTTGAAAATTTCACTATTTAAACCAGACTAGCATGTGAGGGAGAACCATAGGGATTTAAAAAAACAAAAAAAAAATCAGTGCCACTCCATAATATTCAGCAGAAAAGTGTAAGCGTAACTTTTTGAGAACACAACAGTGGTTTTAACAAACAGCATAAGCTGACACTGTTGCTCAATGAAGAGGGACAAATGGAGCTACACAGAACCCGCAATGGATGCAGCTGAACTATTTTTTTGGTGGGGGCGTGTCCTTGATCCGAAATAGGGGCAGGACAGTCAAGTGTGGTCACTTCTCACTTTGTACTCTGCGTGGGAAGGCAGAAAGACATTTTCGGAGCAGCAAGTGTCCGGTGTACCACCTCCTAGCTGTGCCAATAGTTAGTAATGAGTAAAGACATGAATATATGGCACGTACTCTCGGTTATGACGTACGGTTATCAATGGCGGTGGCTATTTCAAACAAAGTGGGGAGAGTGCCATGGTTCCACTGTTGTAGCTTTTTTTGACAGAGTTGCTACAAGACGGCAGCTGATTGCGTGTCACAAGTGATAGTGTGATGATGTTGCGCAGTGTGTAGCAGTGTGCTATGCATTACTGTATACAAAACACAGCTTACATGTTCCTCCAATAAACTTACGTTGTGTGCGACTACTCTCGCTTTACAAGAATGAGCATACCAGCAAAAGAAACAAAACAGGCCACCAGTACTTGGAGCGCATTTGCACTAATAAATGCACCAATATATCAATCTGTTATGAGCGTGCACGTAATTTCCTGTAGGCGGCGATGTGTCACACTCAAGTGTATATTGCATAGTGTGTGAGAACAGTAGCACTGAACACTTACCGGTGACATCAGCTGTGCCCTCAGCAGACAGAAATCCTCCACAGGCAGCAGAAAAGTTCTGCTGAGCTGTAAATGACGGATAATCTTATTAGTAGTACTGAAGACCGGTACAGTGACCAAAGCTTTAAATTAGCACAGTTGCAGCACTGGCAATGAGGGATGGCCAGTGACTAAAATTAAAAAATGTATATGATACTGGACAGAAATTTCACTCACACTCAACAGACACCGTCAAAGCTTGAAATGGCTGGCAGCTCGATTCATGGGTGGTTTCCACACCTGCGCACATATTATAGTTGGAACCAACAAAACCATCTGGCAGACACATGCCTATACAAATCATGAAAAGTAGCGCTCACCTGCTGAACAAGCTGTTGAATAAGCTGGCAGTGCGTCACATTCGGAACTTGAAGGTGCATCTGCAACATGAAATCAACAATAAATTATGTGAAATTTGAAAGCAACATGTCACTGCCATTACCTTCTGGAAAATCCGATGGTGCTGAATCAGTGGCAGTGTGACCTAAAAAAGATAAAGACAAATTGAAGAAGATCATCATCTCTGTTACATCGCATTTTGGCAAACAAGTATCAACACTACTTGAAGCATTTGCAATACGCACAGGTGCATTAAAATTTTTCAGTAATAAGAATGCATGCCAAAACCCAAGCGACAATGCTTTCAATGCTTGCAATGTGCTGAACACCATACTGCAGAGCAAAATGTTGTGGATCTGCAGCACACCCCTAGAGACATGATTGTAAAATATATAAACCAATGGATACAAGTTACAAGCCGTTACAATGCTTCGACTACATGCAGCATGTGTGTTAGCTACGTTACCTTGTGAAGAACCTAACCCTGCTTGAGTGGCATCACTGTTGGCTCCATAGCCTGCAAATTATAAAACATCAATGAAGGCATAAAGCACGTTTGTAATTACGGTAAGTAATAAATGCAGTAAGAACTCACCATCAACAGCAACTGGTGTCAGAAGCACAATTGTAGCTGATGGGAAGTGTGTCTCTTTGGCTTCTGCATAATCCAAAGATGTATTAATGATAACGAAGAGGGAAAAGGCGTGAGATCTGCTTAACCGTCAACTCACAATCAACAAGAGCAGCTGCTGTTAGTAGTATATTAAGACCACAAGATGAGCGGGCTGAATCATTGCATTCTGGAGAATGAAAAAAAAAGCATTAATTATACAAAAAAAAAGCCATTAGCTATACACAAACAGTGCACAACACCATATGCAAGTCGACATGTTTCAGGTTAGTGAAAGGCTGAGAAGTAATTATGGGTGATGCAGAAAACAATGAAGACGGACTAAACATTCTCCAGTTTTTTAACGCGATTGGCTTACCTGACGTTTGCCAATGCTCTTGACTGAAGATCGTAGGCGCCGCGTCTCTCTTCAACTTTGTAGTACCAAACTTGCGCAGCAGTATCGGCTCGAATTGGTCCGCAGTGAAGTGGTCCTAGGTAAGGATATATTCGGGGCTACTGTTACACAATGAAACAGCACGCTCTAAAAGAAACTAAAATAACCTTTAGTGTCAACACGTACACGACTACGCACTGTTTGTAACATTTTCTTCCCACCAGACTAGCACCCGGAGCGTACAGTATGTAGAAATACGCACCATTTAGCCTTGCATGTCCTTATTTCAACCACAGAGCTTCTGAATACTGAGCGCGCTGGAGCACATGCTTAAACAAAATGATGCGACATTCAGGTCGCTGCCCACGTCTTTATACATAAAGTCCTTATACCCATACACACATACACGCGGGAGTCATTTAACTATACGTCTGCCAATAAACAAAGTTTAGTTTAGCACTTGAATGTATCCATTAGAAATACTTTGTAACATAGTCGACGATTATTTCTGGATCAAACCAGTAATAATAATAATAATATCTGGCGTTTAACGTTCCAAAACCACAATTTGATTATGAGGGACGCCCTTTTGAAGGGCTACGGAAATTTCGACCACCCGGTATTCAATAATGTGCATATAATGCTAAGTACACAGGCTCCAACATTTCCGCCTCAATCGAAAATGCAGCCGCTGTGGTCGGCGTGGATCAAGCCAGAGACGCAATGTTTAGATGGCACTAAACGCGGCACGCGTTTCAACTGGCATGCACGTTTATCATCGACGCAGTTACTCTCTTTGTGTGATGCTCGAGCTTGAGAGTACCGCAACAACGTAAACTCGAATACAAGCGAAACGGTAGAGTTTAGCTCGCCGGTACTCTTCTCACAAAGCCGCGACGATACAGGGTGCAAGTCATTTCTTCCAATACGCTGGAGCCACGCTTCTTGCTGAGCGGCATTGTCTTTTCCTCGCGGAAGGGAAAATGGCTTTTTTCCTCTGCTGTACCTGCTTTCGCAACCGCTGGCACAGCAGGTCGGCATCCCGAAACGTGCAGGATTACCGTGCACACACTCAGGCGCGGTCGAACTCCGGCTACAATACAGTACCAAGCGCGCACGCCTAGCCACAAACAAACACCGCAAAAGTGGACAAACAAAATTGCATTTGCTATACCTTCACAAAGGCTAGTGCGTCATGCTGCAGATTCTTAGCACCGCCGAGTTTATTAGATGGATAGCAGTGGCACTGCCATCGAGAGCGTCACTGCTGAGCGTGTCTGCATGCAAACGGTGGGCTATCGCGTTGAGTATTGCGTGCTTGCGGTGATGTCTTTTGCCACTGCATGCCACTTGCTTATATACACGTCACATCGTCGTATTTAACATTACCTTTTATATTTTTTTCTTTCTCAATCACTCTTTCGTTGCATTGCCTAGAACCGCAGCGCCCAGATGCGCTTTAATGGAAACATGAGCACAAGCTCATCTTTGCGGCCAAGAGCCATACAGCCCCTCAACTAGCGTCGCTTACTATCTGCAATGCAGGCGAGGGGAGAGGAGTGTGCACATTGACACGAATGGCGCTACTTTAGTTTATTTTTCAGAGACTTTAAATTATTTCGGTTTTTGTATAATGACAACATACATTACAATTGCACGATTCCGCACCTTAACTTTCAAAAAATGCTTATCAGACCCTGTCTTGACAGCATCTCCGGATTATAAGCACCTATTATTTGCCTAAAACAGGGTGTTATCGCGTTCGAAAATAATGGAAGTGGCTATAACTAAACTTCGCTGCCGGGTTATCTCCCTCAACCTCTACCTGCATAGAGCAAATCAAGCGTTGTCTCCTCTTTGTGTACTCTATAAGGAGAAGGAAACAATCAGTCATTACTTTCTATGCTGTTACCGGTATACGTCATTGAGAAGATTCATAGCACCACCTCTTCGAAACTTGGGTCTGGAAATAATCGAATCAGATCATCTATCATTCGGTGCCTCTACTCTGGGCTACAGTCACAGGGATGGTTACTACACCATAGAGGAATTTATGTCAGACTAAAAGAATATAGAGCTAACTTCTTCATTTTTTAAACATAAATATTATTATTCAGTACTTATTTGTTGTGCAAGCTATCCTTAGCATATACGAGTAGTACACCTAACACTCGGCCAATCCCCTACATTGGGTAAGAGCCATGAGAAGAAGAAGAAGAAGCAACTCATCCACCTTGTTCGGCTGCCGATTATGTGTTGGCTGGTCCTTTTCGGTTAGACTCCCAGATTACACACCAATATTCATAGCAGAATTATTTGCTATTGTACTGGCACTACGGAAACTTCCTTTGGGCGAATCGGAAGCAGTCGTAAATACAGATTCTTTTTCAGTATGTGCTGCTCTGTCTTGAGGAGCCAACTTAACACTTATGCACATGTTTCGACAACTCATACCGACAAACTTGAAAAAACTGCAGCTCTTATGGGTACCAGGTCATCGTGGCATATATGTCAATGAGATGGCGGATGCACTAGCCACAGTATCTCTTAGCGGTCCCATTATCCCGATTTTGCCTGATACGGCTTACGCGACAGCAATAAGGTTTAGAAACCTCTGTTTGCGTGAATACGACTGCTACTCATTGGATAAATATAGAGATTTCACACATCTAAGATGCCGCTGGAATAGACAGTGGTGTGCAACACGGCACTTGGAAGTTACTTTTACAAGATTGCGTTGCAGAATTCCTCAACTGAATTATTATTTGCATAAAGTTGGTCTAAAGGCGTCACCTTTATGACAGACTTGCGAAGAAATGGAAACGATAAATCACTTCTTTTTGTTCTGTCGCCGGTATTCTCATCAGCGGAAAAGATACCTGGTAGCTCCACTTGAAAAATTGGGATTAGAATTAAATGTGGCAGTAATTTTGTCGTTTGGCAGCATTAAATTCGGTTATAGCCACAGGGACGTCTGCTCTGCGGTATTTGAATACATAACTGAAACAAAGCGATTGCCATCTTATTCTGCCTATATATATATATATATATATATATATATATATATATATATATATATATATATATATATATATATATATGTATATATATATATATATATATATATATATATATATATATATATATATCATTTTAGACCCACCATTACCTCGTTCTCAAATCGCATCTGATGGCCTGCATCGCTCCCTGCTCAGATATACTCCTTTTTCGATTTTCGGCTTTTCTTTCTATATTTTTTTTCAGCCCAAAATTACGTTTTCTTTGAAAAACCATTAGCCTTTTAGTTAAGATCCTGCCGCCCGGTTCTTGGCCGATCCCCCTTTGTGGGTGTGCGCCAGAGTGTCAAGGATTATCATCATCATCATGATGTGTTGGCGCTGCACTATACACCTCTATCTCGGCCCCCCACATTTGGTGCATGTGTTGGGAAACCGCCTCGCAACAGAACTTCGCAGTGGCCGTTGTTTGAGGGGTCAATCTGCAAAAATAACGCAATATACGGCGTCTGCATCAGCCCCCGGTGTTCCTGAGGCTGGAGATGATGCAGCGACTACATTTGCTCCTGCAACTGCAACCTTCGTGCTCGAACCCCCGCGGCATCCTGGAACGTTTAGCAGTTCCCGTGATCCAGATGAAGTGAATGTTGAGGATTGGCTCGCAGAGTACGAACGTATGAGTACTTGATACCGATGGAGCCCAACTCTTATGCTGGCCAACCTGTTGTTCTTTCCACCTTAGGAGAACCGTCAAAGTGGGGTATGATTGATTGATTTGTGGGGTTTAACGTCTCAAAACCACTATTTGATTATGAGAGACGCCGTAGTGGAGGGCTCCGGAAATTTTGACCACCTGGGGTTCTTTAACGTGCACCCAAATCTGAGTACACGGGCCTACAACATTTCCGCCTCCATCGGAAATGCAGCCGCCACAGCCGGGATTTGAACCCGCGACTTGCGGGTCAGCAGCCGAGTACCTTAGCCACTAGACCACCGTGGCGGGGCGAAAGTGGGGTATGAGAAGCGTGAAACAGAACTTGGGAGTCACGCAACGTGCAAGGAGAAAATGTTGGACTTGTTCGGGAAGCCCAATGAAAGAAAGAAGGCCGCAAACAAAATTCTCACGTCTCAGGTGCAGACGTCGACGGGGTCGTACGTCTCGTATATAGATGATGTGTTAGCATTGTGTTGCAAAGTCAATGCCGTGATGACTGAGGCCGACAAGGTCAGACATATTGTTAAGGGGATCTCGGACGACACATTCAACTTCCTCATCTGAAGAGATTATTCAACAGTAGACGGACGTCATCATAAAGAAATGCCAGCGCTTTGAGCAAGCGAAGAGTCGGCGGATTGACAATGTTTTTGCTAGCCTTCCCAACACTGCTGCAATGTCATCTTGTGAAGACCGTGCAATAACACAGCCGCCACATCCAGTTTCATCGGATTAGGTGACCCGAATTGTATGGCACCAAAATAAAGCCATTGCCTTTGCTCCAGCTCGCACTACATAAAGTGACACGACCCAACTCACTGCTAACATGGTTTACGCTATCAGCCACC